GGAGGCTGGTTATATGTAGCCCAGGCAATTCGTGCTATTGGCATGAAGATAAGTTGGGATGACAGAAATGACCAACTCCTTAAAAACAAGAGAAAACTAGGGCGCTCTCATGGTTTGAGTTTCTAAGTACATTTCAAACTGCCGTTTTGGCGTCCAGCCCCCTCTGAAGTTTACAATGCAGGCCAAAATCCTCCTTGCAGAAAAGTCGCAGGGCAGAGTTTGTAACTGCAGTCTAGTCATCCATGTCGGAGGGCCAGGCCGTTTTCAAAAAAAAAAAAAGAGAAACCAGAAGGAAAAAAGAAAAGATCGTGGTGCTGTATCTTTCCATGTTCTAGCGGAAGATTCACTCTCGGTTTGCACATTTCGAGAGTAGTGGAGGGAGGGGGTCTTCACGATTGATAGGGCCTTGCTCCACCACTACTCTCGAAATGCGCAAAATGAGAGTGAATCTTCCGCTAGAGTACAGTGCCATGATTTTTGTCTTTTGTGCAACAGGGATACAGGGGCCCAACGGGATACAGGGGCTGATAACAATGCAGAGGCGTCCTTGGGGACATCCGTTAAAATTGGAACGATACAGAGAAGTTTGCATGGCCCCTGCACAAGGACGACACACATAAATCGAGAAATGGTCCATTTTTTTCTAAGTACATGGGTTATACCCGCGAGAGTTCGAATCTCTCAGGCCACGCCAGTAAAAAAAAATAAAAAAATAAAAAATGCAGAGGCCCTAGGGAATAACGCAGTTTCTTTTCTTTTTTTTTTTCCCTTTTTTTTTTTCCTTCTCAAATTTCGCGATTTATGAGTGTCATCCTTGGGGCCTCGCTCCACTACTCTTGACTTGCACACACGACAAAAATCATGTGAATCTTCCGCTAGAACATGGAAAGATACAGCGCTATGATTTTTGTCTTTTGTGCATGTAGGGTCAGCATCGATACCAGGACAGCTTGGCTACACACAAGAAAATCTGGGAGCTTCCATACTTTGGACATTATTTTTTATTTTGTTTTTTTTCCAATCAAATACTTTGGACATTATGCACACTACGGAATTCAGCAACCAGAAGAGGTGAGAGAATCACGCCCCCAATGGTCCGGGCGGAAATAAAGTACGCGATCAAGCAGGCAATTCACATTCACACTGACTGGACTTACAAAGTACAAAACAAAGGCTTGAAGTTCACAGCTAAAGCCACAAAGCGATTTGTTGCTAGATGGCAGGCCTTCAAGTTTACAGGGCTCCGGACGGTCCAGCAGCAACCTCCACTGCACCCGGAGCTGAAATTCTCTACCTTCTTCCTTTGACAACTTTGGCAGTTTCTGCTGTTTGTACTGTTAATCTGTGCCCGTCGCTTCCATGCCTTCTTCTATATGTCTCCTTTCTTTGTCTGTGGCAGCAGGCATCGTAATTGAAGAAAGAATACTGGCTCTGCAGATCTATTACAGAAGTATTTTGTAGAAGACACTAGAAAATTAGTAGAAATAGGATCTCACATAGACTGTATAATAGTGTATATGCCCTGCAGATCTGTGTAGAATTGTTTTGTAGGATACAGTGATACACTATAAATAGGGTCTCACATACTATTAGACTGTATGCGCGAGTCTCAATATGATCTACGAACATTGAAGCTGTCTGTGCTTTTGTGTTTTGTGTTTTGCTGATTTTCCGAGTTTTCATTGGTGACTGAGACCGGGGCATGAACCCGGCGGAAGTGCCCAGACCATCATGCCATAAAGGTCGCTAATTGTGAGCCGGACCCGGTTTCCGGGTCGCATGGCTGGGCCACGGCCAAGATGCCTAGCCCACGCACGAGATTACCCCCCCCAAAAAAAAGAGAGCATCTCGTTGCGTGGCTGGGCCACAGCCGCGATGCCTCAGCCATGTCCAAGTAAAAAAAAAAAAAAAAAAAAAAAGGGCCACATGCCAGACTGTACTGCAGTTGCAAACTCCACCTTGCGATTTTTCTGCATGTGAATCAGCACCCCTAGCAGTCGCTCAGGCTGCTTCTTGCAACAACAACAACAACAACAACAACAACAACAACAAAATAAATAAATAAAAAAATAAATAAATAAATTGGCTGCATCTGAAACTCGGGACCGTACTGGACTCCAAAAAGGCAGTTCGAAATGCATCTACAAACTGCTTTCGTGACTGTGCCGTAGTTACCCCTAAAAACAAATTGATTGCAGACAATGCCATCAAGAATACAGTTGCTCAACAAATTAGGATCATCACGATTGGTGGTGATTCTGAGTCTGAATAGAAGCAGCATATCCAAAGTTAGGAGATGGTTTGGGGATACCTGGGGGTGGGAGTCTAGATTAGTGAAGGTGACTGTAGAAGGCAGGCTATGCTTTTCACCCTATCTCCTTTCCCCAGCAGGTCATGGTGAGCCATTTAGCTCCCCTCCATGATACAATGAGCTAGAAGGTGCTTGGTGGTTTACTCAGTATGAGAGAACAGTAGTTGATCTGCCTTACAAGAGGTCCTTCTTTTCTATTTTTTGGAGATTCAGGCTTGGATCCCACAGTACCTAGCAAAGGTACCTTCGGGGAAAAAAAGGAATCCATCCCACACGGCACCGCTCTCCCTTGTGGATGGGGCACGGGAGCACAAGCGAAACTGTTTCTTATCTTGGCCTTGCGCGTGGCGTCATGGGAGCACGGCTTTTCGTCCGTGTGCGTGGCGTCACAGGAGCACGCCTTTCCCGCCTCGCGCGGCGGCAAGGGAGCAACTGCCGCCGTGTGGGGAGAACAAATTTCCAAAAGTGCCCGACCCCCTACACCTCACCCTGAAAGTCGGCCCAACCTGGATTGTTTGTTTTTCTTTTTTTTGTTTCCGCACATTTTTTGTCCAGGGCCCCAATTGCAAGCCCCTGTGACACTGAAATGCTCCACGTTGTACTTGAAAAAGTGCCTTGTGGGATCCAAGCCTCAATCGCTGAGGGACACTGGCCCGGGTTCTCAGGCAGCTGGGGAATTGCCCCCAGACGTGTGTTATACCGTGCCCCTCTGCCTGCTGTCCCCTCTGTGCCTGTCTATGACACAAGGGACAGCAGGCACATAGACTGCACATATCTGGCCTTTGCACATATCTGGCCTACAGACACAGAGGGCACATATTATCTGTACTCGTCCAGCTTGGCCTGTCATCTCTTCAAACGAACACATAGTTCCCTCTACCTAGCACTGCACATATCTGGCCTTTGGGCACAATGCCATAGACTGCACATATCTGGCCTTTGGGCACAATGTCATAGACAGGCACAGAGGGGACAGCAGGCAGGGGTTACAAGGGATTATCAGCTTCACTTTCGCGAATGGACAAAGATTGATCCCACTATCCCGCTGCAGCCTGCTCAGGACTTCGCAGACCCTTTTCCGCCTCACCCTTCGTCTCTGGTGGTACCGTTCCCGTCCTGATTATTTCCTGGACCCGGTTTCCAGCACTTTGACGTCATTTCCATTCTGAAAAGGTTTTTAAGGGACGCTGGACCCGTTTTCCAGCAGAAGAGAGGTATCCCCTTTTTTTTTTTTTTTTTTTTTAAACAACCAAGCGGAAGCTAGGGGTGCTGGTAAGAGCAGACACCGCTAGCACCGCCGGGGAGGCTCCGTCTATTGGTGGGGAGCAGCACCTGCTGGAAATCGGGTCCAGCGTCCCTGAACATTGTACTTACTCATGTGATCAATCATGCATTTGTGTCAACATCAAGCYATCAAGCTACCAAGCTACCGGGCTAACCTGTTCTGAATGAAGTTCAGCCATGGCTTGTTAGTAATCATGATGGACTGGGGTGTGAATGAACCAGCGCTTTATCAGCTCCTTAGATATTTATGTACTTTCTATCTACCCATCTTGTCGTGTAGCAAAGCTGTACAGGTACCCGAATTGCCAATGTTGCTGACAGTCAAAAATACATCTGAGCACTGTGGGAGAGGCTGAGCAGCTGTCCAAAACGCCCGTGCAGTTGACTGTCCAATGATAGAAGGTGGCTGTGGTTGTTGTTGTTACAGTTGTGAGATTATATGTAGTTGTGTTTGTATAAAAGGCGAGATTAGATGTAGCTGTGCTTGTATAAAAGGTGACAATGCGGTGGTTTGCTGTTACTGTTGATGCAGTTGTGCGTAAGTAGATATAGCTGTATTTGTAAATAATAGTGCACTGCGGGACCATTTTATGACATTGAGCTGATCTCTCAACACATGGTTCTCAGAATGCAATAGAATACAATAGACACCACGAGGGAAGCAGAGGGTAGGCTGAGGCCCGGTGGAGGTGGGAAACTCCACTGGTGCCCCCCAGTGGCCTTCCACCCTTTACCGGACCTGGCCACAAGCTAGGAAGGGGGTTATAGTTTTAATATGGGACGCTGGACCCGTTTTCCAGCATAGTGGTGTCTTTTTTAAATGGAAAGATTGTAAAGATGTATTCGAGGGACGCTGGACCCGGTTTCCAGCAGGTGATGCTCCCACCAATAGATTGAGCTGTTTTTTGAAAAAAAGAAAACAAGAAAAAAAAAAAATCCTGGGCCAAGTCTAACTAGCAGCATTGAGTTTCCTCAACGTACGAATTCGGACGTGTTTGTGGAGATGTGCGGTTGGGGTTACACGCGATTATCTGCACATCTCCACAAACGCTTCCAGATTCGGGCGTTCGTCCGCACGTCGGGTCGGATACCCTTTCTGGGCATATGAATTTCACATGAAAATACGCGCGGGACAACCGAGAGAAAAGAAGGGACTGGGTACTTTTGAACGGCACAATTCATATTCCACCTCTCCGGCCGAAACAAAATAAACACACTGTGCCTGGAGTTGATGCGACGCCCGCCTTCCGTTTTGTTTTTGAAAAAGAAGAATACGAAGCGGAGAAAATCGGAGAGAACATCAAAAGTAGCAAAAGTTCGTTTCCCTCCATTTCTGGTGAAATGGCCTTCGACGTCGGACGGACCACGCGGGTGTTCGTCGCGGGCACTCAGGCGGACTCGCCGACCCGGGTGCACGGTTGTGGTCGTGCCCGCGCTCCTGCGCGTGGCACTGCCACGTCCGTCCACGTAGCGCTCCCCTTTGGCTGAACCCGCTTCCCGCGCTAGGCTGGTCGGCGGGTGTTTGGATTGCGCGCCATTTTTTTTGTTTTTTTTTCAGAGCGGATCCGCTGGGGTTTGAAGTAGGAGGTAGTCGCTGTGCCTTCAACGCCACGATCGTGTCGTGAACCGCCGAGCACGGTCGCCCCGCCCTTTCCTGCCGGGCAAAATGGCGGCAACGTTCACACAACTCTCCGTCCCCGCCCTTTTTTGCCAAACGCACTTGCACGTGCATTTGCATGGGAAGAGCGAAGGGCTTTGTTCATCATGGCGGGCCCGAATCGCTGTTAAAAAATTCGCTGGTTCTGGATCGGAAGTGTGCGACTTACACGTGTCGTCCCGAGCTTGCCGCTGGCGCTCATTGGCCGGCAGAACTTCAGTGTCTCGAGATTGCCGACGAAGCTTGCGGTTACTACGATGGACGACGAATCCCGCGCTATCGACGGTAATGGCGGGGATAAATTTGTCCACTCGCTCTGTGCCTGTTTTGCCTCGCTGCTGGGCGACGATAATGGCGGGGAGAAATCTGTCCATGCGCTCTCCCGCTGTTTTTTCGCGCTGCTGGCCGGTGGTAATGGCGGGAAGAAATCTCTCCATGCGCTCTGAGACTCCCGCTGTTTTGTCCCGCCGCTGGCCGACGACAATGGTGAGAAGAAGGCTCTCCGTGCGCTCTCTCGCTGTTTTGCCGCGATCTTGGCCGTGGATGGATGACCGTTGGCCGTGGATGGCTGACCGTCGGCGCGGCCTCGAGAATACCGAGCAACTGATCCGCGGGTGGAAGGGAGGCAAGCGCCCTGCGGGTCATCGGGCTGGTCGGGATCAGCACGTTTTCCGTTGCCGTCTTGAAGAAAAAGCGCACCTTTCACTGACTCTGAGCAGAAGTAGATATGGAGTTGGAGGCGGAAGGTGGCCTGCGCAGAAAGAGCTGACTGGAATGAGAAGGAGGAGGAGAAGAGGACGGGCCGTGCCGTTAGGTGCTGTCGCCAAGCCCGCGGATATGAACGCCGTGGACTCCGAAGACGATGCCGACGCCCTGGCCGGCGATGGAAGCGGTAAATCCACGGTCAGAGATCAATGGGCATCCAAAGGATTGGGTTAGTACCGTAACCTCCTTCAACCATTTGGCTTCTTCTCCTCGTCCGCCTCCTCGAGTGAGACCGTCTTCTGCTGCCGCCCTCCTCTTCTTTTTCTTCGTCTTCGTCTTTGCTTCCAATTTCATACGCTTAGCCTATCTACAGTGTTGAGTTCGTTCTCTTATCTCCTTGCGTTTCTGCAACGTCTTTTTGCAGTTTACATGTGGCCTGTCTCAAGGTTGAGCTTCTACCCCGTCTTGCCGAGAAGAGCAAACGGATCGGTGAAAACGAAAGAAGAGAAAAGAAATCTTTTGAAAAAGTGAAAGATGGCCGCTTCTTGCGTACGTCCATGGGCTTCAGTGGTGCCTTTTCCTTCTTTTTCTTTGAATTTCTTTTGGTGTGTGTGTTGGTGTGTGTGTGTGTTTGTTTGTGTGTGTGTGTGTGTGTGTGTGTGTGTGTGTGTGTGTGTGTGTGTGTGTGTGTGTGTGTGTGTGTGTGTTACCATGTTCGCTATACACAACCGCACCAGTAAAGCATGACTGTGCCAGACTGTTTCATTGGACTTTCACTGACTCGTCAGGTGTGTGTGTGTGTGTGTGTGAGAGAGAGAGAGAGAGAGAGAGAGAGAGAGAGAGAGAGAGAGAGAGAGAGAGAGAGAGAGAGAGAGAGAGAGAGAGAGAGAGAGAGAGAGAGAGAGAGAGAGAGAGAGAGGGAGAGAGAGAGGGAGAGAGAGAGTTTCAATTTGTAAATTTTTTTTTTTTTTTTTGGCTTTATCCGACTGTGTGCATGATTCGGCCTTGCGCATCAGCAAAGGCTAATCGGTTTGGGCGGCTGGCAGATGAGAAGGGCCATATTCACAATACGTCGACCTTTTCGACTACTTCTGGTCGTAACGAGGCCCGTTACATAGTAGCTGAAGTTCCCAACCCACTGACTAGCCGTCAAGTCTTGTTTGTCCGTCCAATCCACATCCTATAGACCTCCAGCAACGACTCTGGCTGAACCAGTGTTTTAGGAGTTGAAATACCCTCGACATATCTATATCAATATATATCGTCCATATATCAATATATATATATATACATATGACCATGACGATATATACATACGACCATCCATAACCGGGACATGGAGGAGGGGTCCAGGTAAGACCAGGTGTCCCACTTAGAACGTTGACCCAGTGTCCCCCGGTCCAGGTAAGACCAGGTGTCCCTCGAAAGGGTCCAGGTAAGACCAGGTGACCCTCGAAAGGGGCCCGCGGCCGACGGCTGGCATGTACTGTTGGTTTAACCCGAATAGAAAGCACTGTCATTGTAGCTTCGGGCCAATTTTCAGTCTACGTACAGCGATAATGACCGTTTGTTTTATTCTGGCGAAAACGGTAGGAGATGGGTCCATTCGCAGCAGCGTAGATTCAGATGCGAGCCAATTGATCATCATCCATCTAGATGACAGATCTGGATGGCTGAGAATCAATCGGCTGACGGCTGAATTTAAGCTGCGGGTAGTGGGAGTCTGTGGGACCGTGCCCAATATGAGCCAACCAATTGTCTGCCGACCGGCTCTGTCTTCCGGAGGGCTGACAATCAATTAGCTCCCATCTGAGCCTATCCTAAGGCTAGCGGGATCGTGGCCACTGTCAGTCGGCGATCAGTTGTCAGCCATCCAGATGGCAGATCCGGACGGCTGACAATCAATTTACTAGTAATTTAGCTCCCATATCTGAACCTATCGTGATGTTACCGGGACCGTGGCCAATGTGAGCCAATCAATTATCGGCCGTCCCGATGACAGATCCGGATGACTGACAATTAACGTGCTCCCACCTAAACCCATCCGGCTGCTAGCGGGACCGTCGCCAATGCCATCTAATCAATTGTTGGCCATCCAGAGGACAGATCCGGACGGCTGGCAATCAATTAACTCTCACCTAAACCCATCCTGCTGCTAGCGGGACCGTCGCCGCGGTCATACAATCAATTGTTAGCCATCCAGATGACAGATCCGGACGGCCGGCAATCAATTAACTCCCACCTAAACCCATCCTGCTGCTAGCAGGA